TACCCATCCATCCATCTCCAGTTATTTTGTCGAGACAATCACCTTATACACGTCGAGTAATACGTAGTAATTTCAGTTAGAAGTACACCGCCAAACAGGAATCACATTAATGTGCTCTCGTAGGAGTCGACTAGCCATAGTAAGGAGTTTGAGCGAGTGGCATTGGAGACTGAAGGTGAAGACACTGGGACTGGATGGCCTTGATGGGTTGAGTGGGAAAAGGGGGCGAGAGAAGTGGGAGAGAGTGTGGATGGAGATAGAGAGGGATGTTAAGGTGATTTTAAGAAAGAAAGGAAAACAAATGACTGTTTGCTCCTTAGGTAGCATACTGGGCCTCTTTTAAGGGCAAACCTTTTAAACAGCACTGTCCATATCTATTTGTACTGTTCTCTTTGCTTTACTGCAATTATGTAGTCTGCTCCTCACTGTCAATAGATCCTCCTTTGTGCTGCTGTAGCTAATTTGAGCAGCACTCTCTGTAATGTCCTTTTCTGGCACGTATGTACGCACATGCATACTTTGCAATAGCAAATTGTGGTTATATAAAGAGATTTTCCACTGTTTCCAGTTTATCTTGACATTATCTGTGTTTATAGGAATACAAAGCAGTGGCCAACAACATTTTTCTTATTGCATTCTCGTTCCTATTTGTCCTAACTATTTGTGCATTACCTCGTTACAAACATCCGAGCAACTGTTTTGAATTTTTCCCCGAGTTACTTGCGCAGCTAATGGCAAAAACGTGTTACTATGTGACAAGAAGAGGAGGCAAACTAATTGTGTGTGAAAGACGGGGAAACAAAGGAAGAGAGGGGAACAGCAAAAATGTGTCGGAATCAAAGCTGGTGACGGTGAGGGAGAGGGAACGTGTTTTCATTCCCAAATCTCACAAGACTGAACCACCAGAACAAGAACAGCTGTTGTGGCTGCAGGTAGATTGATTGCTAGAGAATACATTATTATTATTATTATTATTGAGAGGATGGGTGAATCTGTCACCCCCGGTTGGATGGATTCATTGAAGTTGCTGTTTATCCATTCTGCTACCAGGTTCAGTGAAACGCCCTTCTGCACACAAATGCTGGTATTTGCGTGTTTACGGTTGGCTCCCAAATGCTTTAACTGACAATTATTTACCATTTCTTTAAATAATAGTTTTTCCTATCTTGACTTTCGGTCAAACAGTAAGTGAATGTCTAGACTCCGTGTCCCTGTGTTTGTGAAGTTTGTGTTTACATGTGACTCACTGACTGGAGGCCCAAGCTGTTTTTGATATGGTTTGATAAAGCGGATGCTGCATGTACGTGTGTTTGCAACTTGGGGGTGTTAATTTTTTTTGTGGGCCTAATAGATGTTCACAGCAGCATGCTCGGTGTATTTGATGTGGCACTGATCAAGAGCCAAGCGTGGAGCTTGGCTTTTTGGTTGAGACTTTTGGTTTCCCAGAACAACTGCTTCCTGCTTCCCAAAAACTGGTAAAACAGTAGGAAATTGTGTGCAATAGTCGCTGTCTGGATTTGTTCAAGTTCAAGTAGGTTCAAGCATGGTTATTTGTGTGTTGTGAGTCTGAGTTTGCACATCTGGTTCTTCATGTTTATTGTCGGAGAAACTGTTCTCTTGGGCCATACTGCCGGGCCCTAGAGGTCTTTAAGGTGCGGATAAGATAGAGGACATGCCTGGCATTTACCACTTTATAACAGAAACAGCATCAGTGTGAATTTCACCAACTTTAACTGTCAGTTTTTCAGTTTTAATATGCTACTCGTTGTTTTAGTGATTTTTTTCAGCATTTATCTGAGCTGCCCAAACACGTGCATTCATGTTCAGTCAACACTAAGGTCACTGATAGACAGGTCATCAGTATTCAGTATGATTAAACTACTGTGCAAAAGTCTCAAAATAGCCCACATAATTTAATCAACTTTGAAAAGATCTCCAACACCACTGGCTGAGCCCTAAACTATGACTGAGCCTCTACTGTGTTTACACATGGCTTTAGGCCCTCACTTTTGTACCTCTCTCCTGCCTTCCTTCATACAGACTCGTGACAGATTTAACCAGAAATTTCTGTTCTTGTGTAGTTTGGCATACCTTAGCCCAGCCAATTCCAGACCTCGAGGGCCGGTGTCCTGCAGGTTTTAGATCTCACCCTGGGTGTACACACCTGAATCAGTTCATTACCAGGCCTCTGGAGAACTTCAAGACAGGTTGAGGAGGTAATTTAGCCATTTAAATCAGCTGCAATGGAAAAAGGACACATCTAAAACCTGCAGGACACCGGCCCTCGATGCCCTATTCCCTGCTTCCCTTTCCTAAGAGTGGCTTTTTTACAGCCACCCTTCCACTGTGAAGATTAGATGGGTCTTCTGAAGAACCAGATGCATTTCTCAGGCCCTATGTCAGATCTTTGATAACTTTGTTTCATCAAGTACAAATTATGCTTTTTTCCACTAGGTTGTCTGTTATGTGGGACACAACCCTGGTTCATCCCTTGGGTTAGGTCAGTGTTAAGTAGCTGTCTGAGGGGAAAAAAACATGAAAATGGTCAGGCAGGAGGACTGGACTGAAAATGAGTGAAAAAGCAGCCAATGTCCAAAGAAAAACTTTGAAAGACTGTCAGAAAGCCTTACAACAAAGTCTGGCTCCTTGAAATGAGAGATGGCTCAAGACTTTTGCACAGTACTATAGTTTCTCTAAGGGTGTTCGTACATACATTCATCATAGATTCCGTTTCTGTGATGCTTAATTGTTAGGATTTGATTTGATTTATTTATAATTTTTAAATGGCTCCATTCATTATACGTTTCATCTCTCTCTCTCTCTCTCTCTCTAGTGTGGGCGCTGTGTCATTGGGGAATGACATCCCCATTTCATGTGTAGGATGCAACATCCCTTTGAAAGCACAGGGCACACACACAGAGGGCATTACACACACCCTAATGTCGTCAGAGAGTGATGGGGCACCATCCTGCCGACAGAAAAAAGTCGGCTGTTCCATCTCAGGCAAATAACAATAAGCCTGGAGCTGGATTCCAATGGGCTTTCTCTTTGAAATGGGATACCAGCACACGCATTACAAATATATCTCTTGTTTTATCTTCCGGGCCAGGCCCATGGAAAAATTATTCCAAATACCTGCCGCGCTTTATCTGGAACCCTGGAATAGGTTAGACCCAGCCGGGAACACGAGGATGTCTAAAATAAGGCCTCTATTACGGGATGGAGTGGAGATGGATGGGACGGAGCGGGAAGGGACGGGGATCGGGGGTATTTTAGGTGTATTGGCCATGTGAAAAAGGCCTTGTTGCGGGGGCTTGGACCCGCTTTAAAGTCTACAATGCAGGCCGCTGTCAGCTGTTGTACGAACTACGTGTGTTGGGGGAGGGTTAGTGTGTGTATGTATGCACACTCATTTGGGCTCACACGTCTATTGTGGAGCGGGAGTATAAATAACATTTTTCCTACAGATGTTCTCACCTTTGCAAATCTGTTCTTGGCATGTGTCAAGATGGCCCAAACTAACAGCTTTATTTACAGTAGTGTCTTCAACCAGTACCATTTTCTTTTTAACAACATCACCAGTATTTATCTGATGATGTTTCTCAGTGTGGCTGCCAACAAGTGAGCATTTTTTGAGGTAACCAAGCAAGGCAACAGTTAAATTTCTCATCTACTTACTAAGTTTTTGCTTAGTTGTTATCTTACACCTCACATGGAAACCTACTTGTTTATTTAATAATCAGCGTGGACAATTAGCGGATAATTAGTTGTTTATAAACATGCGGGATTAAGTGTTGAATCATGGTGACGACAGTGTGGAGAGAATTTGGGAAATACTGGGAAATATAAACAGTACGGGGATAAAGAGTAAGAGTGAAACAGCAATAGAAAGAAGGGTAGGCGTTAGACAGAGTGGGGAGGAGATGATTAGAGGAGGAACAAGTTCATAAGATATCGGGAGAGGTGTACTAAACAAGAGCTAGAGCTGCTGAAAAGGCGTCCTTGAGGAATTCAGTTATCTCTCTGCTTCTCTTTGGTGGGACCCGACACAGAGTTTATCACCAGCGCCTGGAGAGTCCTGATGACATTTCCTTCAGCAGCTGAGTGTGTGAGAGCGCTACATGCCAGACTCTCCCCAGAAAGACACTGCCGTCCACATAGTTCCCATGGCAGAATGGAGAGGGAACAGTATAATCTTCATACCAGTCATGCCAAGAAACCATCAGCAAGAGATGGTGATCTTTTTGACTAACGTATGATATTGCAGAGCAGCGTTGGCAAACCGGCTACCAAGGCTGGCATTGCCAGTTTAGGATGACTGTGCACCACCTGCGAGTAAGAGCTGATAATGTCAGCATGGTGCCCATCTGGCAAATCAGTGTAATGTATCACCATGCTTTCGATCATTGGTGTTTTAGCCCCCTCTCCCACTGGGTAATATAACAGAGCTTAGCGTTAATTAGGCCGCAAAGTGAAGCTCGGCATCAGCTTCTGAGTTGATAGACAAATCTCGTACAAAGTGCACTAATTACGTTGCTTTAGCACTGCCCACAGATGTGTGTCTGCAAGCCAATTTGCAACCCTCATTCTAAGCAATCAGTGTTGCATGTATTGCCACTGATGTGACCCATCTTCTGTATGGGGGTCTCGCCGGTCCTTCTGCCGGCTGTGCAGTTTATGTGCTGGTTTCTATAAGCAGAAACTGATTTTATAAAGTAGAATCTCAATAAACCTGTAAGTGTAAACTAAAATGCTTGTTTCTGCTTCCCTTGTATTTTGTTCCTCTATTGCTATAGCAGCTGGTCATGACTTCAGTGACCTTTCCCAAAGATGTAAGATATTATGGTAGACTTGAGAAGCGAACACATAGTGAATTTTGTACTCAGCACCTTTTCTTTACCCTCTTTCTCCTACAGCGTGATGTATCGTCCCAGATGTCAGATTCTGTTTCTTATTCCCACCTATCACTCATGTCTCCCATGCATCCATCTTTCCCATAGGGCTGACTCGGCCAAAATGACGCAGCCCATGAGAGGGGACCAGGCCCACCAGCCAGTCTCGGCTCGCAAGTCTGCCAGCCTGTCCTCACCGAGCGCTGCTCGCCGCCTTTACCGCAATTTGTCTGGAAAGTTCCGCGTGGGCACCAACCCCCCTGCTCTGGAGGACAGTGTGGTGTCAGGACGGGGAGGAGACAAGGAGAGGCTCCGCAAAACCACCATAGTAAGTCAGAGAGCGAGGGAGAGGGAAAAAATAATAAGCCCAGGAACATTGTAATCTAAAAATAGTCTGGGAAAACACGTAGACTTGAATAGTCTCAGGTATTGGCGTTGCACACCCAAATATCTATTTACTGTATAGTAACACAGAAAGCATGAAGAAAAATGGCGTTTTCCATGTTTGCACTGCAAAGAACTTTCCTATTCATTTTTATTCATTCCTAACATTCATTATTACAGTTTCAGAGTAATGAAGCTCTTTTTGAGGCAGTGGAACATCAAGAGTTGGACCTGGTACAGCTCCTTCTCTCACAGTACAGTCTGGAGGAGCTGGATCTCAACACTCCTAACAGCGAGGGGCTCCTGCCCCTTGATATCGCCATCATGACCAATAATGTGCCCATGGCTAAGCTTCTGCTGCGAGCCGGTGCCAAGGAGAGCCCCCACTGTGAGTAGAGAAGCAGAGCGTACCTGCTGGTAGTGATGGTTTAAGCTCACGATAATGTTAACAAAACAAATAAAGTTTCATCTTTTCATAGTGTTATAATACTGCATAAACACATGCGCGTGCAGTCTGGTGCTCACTGAAATTAAAGTTGCAGGAATTAACCTACAAAACAAATGTATAAATTTAGTATTTTTAAACGGTGGGAAGAGAAAACCTGTGCATTATTTTCCACGTGATCTTTTTATGAAACAAGAAGAATGTTTTTCTTTTGGTGGAATAGGATCTAAACACACACACACACACATGTGAAAACAAGAATTAGACAGTTACAGTTAGAATATGTGCATAAACCTGTCTTGGACTTGGCGTTTCCCCAGCTTGAACTCAAGCCTTCCTCTTTGCCTGCGTGCACTTGAACTGAACACTCACTTCTGTGTACTCAAAACAAATCGAGACGCTGCTGCAGAGGCAATTGTCATTAGGTTTTGTGTCTTTGCCTCGAGCAGACAGCTTATCATGGCGGTTTTAATTAGTTCTGGAGGCTTAATTTGTGCTCTGCTCCCACACTGGAGACTGGAAATTACAAGCGCCACTTCAGTAAGAGCTTTGAAGTCAGGGGAGCGCTTCTCCCAGGGAAATGATCAGAAGTCAGCGACACGCTGAAAGTGGGATTTCCCTCTGTTACACCGGGGGAAAGCAATATACTGCTGCTTTCTAATCAGCTTTGCTGATTTTGGTCTGCAGCAAGCTTAGAAACTACCATAAAGGTGTGAATGATGAGAGATTGTGTTCTTTTCTCTCTTTCGATCTCAGTGCATTCATCGCTGTCCTGTAGTTTCGGTCTTTTCTCTCCCTGAACCTCTGCGGGTACCTCTGGCTCCAAAACCGTGTGTTTCTCATCTTCTGTTACAGACACAACCAACCTGTTATCGTTTCTCAAATGTCTTCCGTGTCCTCTCATGCCAAGTAGCCGAGGCAGAGGGTGGCGTTTGATTAAGGGAGAACTGTTGTATTGAACCAGCAATATCAGCGTCATGTAAATCAACTGCAGGTGTTAAAACATTACACAGTCTCCTTTCATTCACACCAGTAATGGATTTATCCTCACTCTACTGACAGTTTCACACATCTATTTCTGCTTTCTGCTGCCAGTGAAAACATATTAGAGGCAACAGAGGGGCAGCCATTGTGATGCAATATTAGTCATCTGCGTAAGCACTTTTAATTGTTTGTGATCTGGTGAGCCGCCGCCGCCTTCCTCTGTTAATGATTACAACTCGCCAGTAAGGCTCCTAGGCTGTTTGTGTTTGTACTTACACTTACACACACACACAAGCACACACTTCATTTTTTTAAGAACCGAGCCAGACGTCTTATAAAGGTATCATTAAATTGAAAACACTTGAATGGAAAGTGGTGTTTACTAAAGTTTAGTGTTTGATTGTGCTCTCTCTCCAGAACCCCAATAACTCACGAGACAGCGGGCCGTGCGCGCTTTCCGCAAAAAGACATAAATAGAGAAACAAACGAAGCAAACGACGGGACATAATGAAAGTCAAAGCTTTGTTTTTTCGAGAACATGCTCAAAACGCCATCTGAGGATAATTGACGCGATAGATGATGCACACTTTTCCTTGAACTTTAAAAGGAATTGATTATGGCGCTTATTGTTATTGCCATGCTTGACTACACAGTGTGTGGTTACCAGAGAGACAAGGACAGGCAAAGACAAACACGCTCTCAAAAGCAACTTCATCTTCACACTATTAATCCCTTAGTGGCTCTCAACAAGACAAAGCCTTAATGTGAAATAAGGACAAATCAAGACACACATACACATTCATGACAGCTTCTGGGCCTTTTTCTAAGCCCAGAGGAGCTGGAATTATAAATCAACGTGAACCAATATTGTTATTATTATTATTTTGATTGTTTCCATCCAAGCTATAGTCCATGTCCAAGGATCCTCAGTAATAATTCTGTCCTAACCTAATTCGACCCTGACCTTCACGTAATCCCTTTAAAAAAAATAAAAGCAAAGAACTGCCTTCAAGTTTTCACATGAGTGTCTGCAGAGTACGACAGAGGTGACACCCAGAAGAGACGCTCAAGGTTGAAAAAGAGAAGCTCCCAGCCACCGAGGAGACACAGAGAGAGCCGCAGAATTAAACACCCAGATGGACATTTTGACACGGAGCTTTAAACTTACTGTCAACAGTGGAATCTAACGCTCAACAGTGGAATCTACAATGAACAAACACAGACCACACAGACTAAACATAGACACACACCGGTCCCAAACACTCCAAGAAATGACCAGCCGCTTGCAGGAGGAGTACAGTATCCCGCTGTCCTCTTTGACCTTTAGCAGCTTTACGTCACTTGTCCTGTAATTTGATTTGTACGATCTACAGCGATGCATTTGCAAATCGGAGCACCGTTGATCTCTGCGTTAACACCACCGGTCACTATGAGCGACCGCTCGGCCCTGGGTTACAGCTCGTCTGCTCTAGCGATGCCTTTGAAACCCCTCTCCCCTTTTTGGAAAGTATCTTCTGGTCCTAGCAGCCTGTGGCGTTATTATAGTTTTAGTTGACTTTTTTCCGCACATTTGCAGAAAAATAGCTTTTACAATGGCGCTTTAAAGCGATGCCCATGCACGTTCCCACCGTTTTGTTTTCCCCTCTAACCGCACATGAAGAGCACTCCTCCCTCTCTCACCCCTCTCACTTTCATTGCCCCATTTTTGGTGTCATTTTCGAGGTGATGTCATTGCCCAAAAGAGAGACTGCTTAATTATATTAAACGCTGTTTATTGTGGAATCTGCCGCAGTATTTTGAGCAAACAAAGGCATTAAAAAAAGGGAGCGAGAGAGCGGCCTTCATAAGAAATTTGCACCGTTGCGGGCGACAGATGGGTTTCTAGCGCTATCTAAGCCTGCGCATCATCCAATCTCTTAATAAAATACAGTGTAAATAATTTAGAACATGTTTTTCTTCATGGAAACATTCACATATCAAAAAATAATAATAATAATACCCAAACATGAGAATGATCTCTATCCCCTGTTCGTGGGACAGAGATCATGTATTTGGTTTGGCAATAAAAGAGTCTCGTGTGATAAAATGCTTCTTGTTTTGATACTAAAATTATCTGCTGACATTCCCCCTCTCACTGTGTTTCCCTCCTAGTTGTGAGTCTGGAGGGCCGAGCGGTTCATTTGGCCACTCTGGTGCAGGAGGCCGAGCAGCGAGTGTTGGAGCTACAGCCCCAGGTGCGGAATGAGGGTCCCGGTGAGCGGGAGGGATCTGACCGTGAGCGCCAGCTAAAAGCTTGGGAGTGGAGGCTCCGGCTCTTCCGACGCATGCAGACAGGCTTTGAGCATGCCAGTAAGGCTTCAAGTTGATTGAGATTTTTTTTTTTTCACATGCTAACCAGCCGATAAAAGTTTGCCGCCTGAATCACTCCTGCAGTCCAGCAGTCATCTTTGGTTTTCTTTTTGTTTTTGTTTTTTTTGCACCCCTTTTCCCCCCTCTGCTGTCATTCTGTCTGGGCTGACTTAATGGCTTCCACACTGGGAAGCCGAACACACAACTATGTGGCATGTATGTGTGTGCACAAACATAACACGCCTGTATTCCTGCTTTAATTTGTTATAGGCATTTCGTGACACGCTTAGTGGCAGACAGCTAACCCGCCCCCCTCTTCAGAAAGCAGACACTCCTCCCTTGTACCCACACCAATGTGCGTTTTGATGTAAAAAAGATCTTTTCCCGCCTTTTAATTCTACATTACTCATGTAATTTGATGGGCATGTGTGAATGCACGTGAAAGTAATAAAGCACAGGTTGAAGGTTAATGTCTGTGCTGTTATATCCACAGTGAGAATCTGTGACATACTTGTGTTAAGCTTATATCGGTTTGTGAAGATTATAGGGTAAAGATGAAGCTGCGCTGCCTTTAAATGCTTTGATTTTACCATCATACACAATTTCACTGCATATCAAACCCTCTCAAACTGAGTGAGTGCACTGTGCACAGATCAAAACATGTAAAAGATCCCATTACAGTAATCTGACTGTTGTGTATTCTTGTGTGTACTCTGCTTATTTACCCGGCCTTCTCTCTGGTCCTCTGTCTCTCCAGGTCCTCCAGATGCTCCCAGTGTAGTTTCCCTGTCTGTCAGCAGCAGCACCAGTCTAAAAGTTGACTTCCAGGAACCTCTTTGTGTCAACTCTGCTGTGGTTACCAAATACAAAGGTCGGCCATCACACCAGACCAGCCACTTCATTTAGAACAAACCACTCAGTATTACAATATGTAGAGTTACAAGTGGACATATTAGGTTCATTTCCAGCTCCAAGCTTTTTATTCTTGGACTATTGGAGAGTAGCTTTGCATGGCCCACAGTTCAAAATCCTTATTTAATCTCTACTTGGCCTGTTTGCCTGAAACAAGCTGTTGTTGCTTCTCTCCCTTAAAGGACACAGCTTTCTTCTGCTTGGCAGTCCATTGGAGAAAAAATGGACAGTGGGTGGGACATTTGTCCCTGAGATGACAATATTAAGGACATCCGCTCTCTTTGACATCATAAAGCTCCAACAGCCTGAAGCTTTTGGCTCATAGGGGTTTTCATGTGCATGCATTATTATTCTAAACCCGTAGTGGGCGTGTTCAGTGTAAGCATTCATTACTGTAAAAGCATATTAATTAAAGAAAACAAGGAAAAGCAATGTAATTCTGCTGTAAAGTAATGACTAGTGTTTGATAACTAATGAAAAATGTTTGTGTTTGTGTATGTTTGAAGTGAGCTGGAGCGGTAATCCTTCGTTTAGTCCTCTGCTGGGTGAGATGATAGTGGATGATGCCACTCAACTCGAGTGCAACATTACTGGACTAACATCTGTAAGTTTCTACCGGCACATTGTTGTTGTTTTTCTTCATGCACATTTCCATGAGCTGAAGCACTTACAGATTCCTTCCAACTTACAGATAAAATGTTCCAATCACATTTTATCACCATAGTTTAAGCAGCACTATGCTGCAGGTTCTCCAGCTGTAGCTTGTAGAATAGCTTGTAGCTATTCTCTCACAGGAAGGGCCCTGGTATTGTTACACACAGCCCTGGACCCTTCTTTACTGTATATGTTAAGCGTCACACCAAACCCTATTCCCTCCTGACCACCCGTAAGCGATATTTGCAGGCAGCTGCCAAAATGATAAAAAAGAGCAGCTTGGTAGCCTGCCACCTGATTTATGGGTGGCATTTTTTAAACGGACATGGAGACAAATGGACACTCCACTGGTTGTTAGTTATTATGTGAGGGAAGACCCATCCCCCATTTAAGACCCCCACTACCAGCTAAAGCTCACTCCTGTCAAAAAAGAACAGGGGTCAAGGCAAGGCCAGTGAGTTTTGGCGGCTGGTGTGATTGATCTGGCTGAGAAAGGAGAGGCAGGGGCTCGCCGTCTGCACGCTGGGAGACAGAGATGCACTGAGCTCCACACATGCACATGTATGCAGATGGTCATTTACAGAAACACTTCCTTTTCGGTTGTTGCCACACGCAAGCAGATTCTGTCGTAAGTGTCCTATCTCCTCTCCTCCCAGGGGACCTATTACTACGTGCAGGTGTCAGCGTACAACATGAAGGGCTGGGGACCTTGGAAAATTTCCACACCGGCCTGTGCTGCACCTTCCAGTAAGTTGTCTATTTTCTTTGTATAAATATGAGTATTTTAAAGCCTGTGTCTAAATTTTACACAAAGCTAAACATAAAGCTCCAAATTTAGGGTGATTTCAAAACGTGCCCCTTGCTCTACAAGGTTTTGGCTCACCTCACTAAATTAATAACTGTGGTGTGTGTGTGTATGTTTGTCTTGCATAAGTGATTTGTTTCGTAGTCTTACACATTAAATGACCCGGGCATCGCCTAATTTTGTTAATTGAATTTGTCACGCTGGTGTCATTCCAATTTTGCTGTGCCATCACTAGAGGGATGACAGCTGGACTCTCCTCCAGCTCTGCCAGGGCGGCTGGGCGGGTTGTGGGACCCTCACTGCGGATGTTAGTGAGTGTAACAGTAGCCTCAGGATGCTGCTTGGGCCCAGCTGCCAGGAGAAGCCACCCGGGTTCAGCCAAGAAATTAACCGTGGAGTCATGTGCAACAGCTGAGCTGTTGACCGCTGCAGCTCTGACCCTCTTTCTCCCTTTCCTTCAGTCCATCTGTCTCTTTCTTTAGTTTGTGTGAAATTTTTACGTTTCCATGTTTTTGAGATTTGTGAAAGGACTCTTCTGACTGTTGCAGATGCAAAATGCACCTTTTGTAAGAGCGTGAGCATAGGTAGCATTGCTGTGGGCACACTGGCACGCTCGTGGCACATCTGGAGAACACATGAACATGTTTGTCCTCATCAGCACACAGTGTTTTTCAGCAAGTTTGTGAAACTAGGCTTCCCCCTCTCCTTTTTTTTTCTACTGTCCCACCGCTCTACCTCCCCTCTCCCAGAGCTAATTTCGATGTTGCGTGTTTGTGTTTTCCATTTGGGCCTACCACTGGAAATATTTGCATGTCTGTGCTGTAGCGCGCGGCGCGGCCCCAACAGTGGGGGCCTTATACCGGGCCGTGGACGCCCATTAAAGGGCCCGCTTGTCTTGTCGGGACAGGCACCTTTCCGGGAATAGACCTCACCGTGTTTCAGCCCCACACACCCCCCGGGGGGCTCCAGGAGAGGGAGTGGGGGGTGGGTTGGAGTTGATGTTGGTT